TGTAATCGTCATGTACATCTCACACTTGCATTGCACCGTTAGACATTTAGCAATAGTGCTTGTCAATTTGGACATGCCAAGACGGCAACACGGATACCATAAGAAATAACAACGCTGCTTGCAACATGCGCTCAAAAAGATATCTACTCATACATCCCGTGATTTCATAGATCTCATGATTAAAATATTATTTATACAAAAAAATAAATTCCAAATTTATTTAAATTTATTCAAAGATGGGCCATAACAAAAAAATAAATACCAAATTTATTTAAGTTTATTTTATACATCTTTCACTTATTTAATTCTATTGATCATAATTATTCTGGAAAAGTTGGAAAAAGTTGATATATGATAATAAAATTAAAAAAAAAAAATTAAAGCTTTAATGGTACCCTCTAGTTAGGGTTTGGTTTTTCGCCAACTTCCGAGTTCGACGTTTCTGGCCCACTTCGATGCCTTCGGCTTTCGATGGTGGTGGAGGTTTCTTGGCGAGGCGATGTTATACAGGTTCGGGGAGATTTGCTTTGATGGAGGGCAGTGGTTGGCATGGAGTGACGCTGCAGCATACCGGAAGAGATCCATACATAAAGCCTGAATGGCGGAGCATCTGGCGGCGGGGTTTGGCTACATATGACGGCAAGGGGTTCAGTGATGGCTATGGCCGACTTCTAGGGAAGGAGGAGGATGGCAACACGGCTGAAATCAGTGGCGGATCAATTATAGTGGTACTAATGGTACGGCCTCCTCCTGAACCGTCGCCATGGGTTGTGCGAGAGGCTGGAGTTAGTGAAAGTTCTCCAATAAATTCTCGTTATTTTGTTATTTGGTTTCTTGTTGTTGTTGTTGTTGTTGTTGTTGTTGTTGTTAGATTTGTCAGCTTGTTTGAGAATTTAGCCTGGTTTTATGTCATTGAGTATGTTTGGATATGTGGGAACATGGATGGCTGTGTCAAACATGTTACATGATTAGCGATTCGTGTTGCTGAGGTGACCGTTTCTAAATCTGATAATAGAGTTTAAAGTCATAGTTGTTGGAGCCTGGTTGGTGTCAGATTTGTTTTTCTCTTGATTGATGTAATGATCATGAAACTTATGATATGAATAAAGGCTCGTTATTGGATGATAAAAAAAAAAGAAAAAGAAAATTAAGCTTTAATGATGAATATATTGAAATTATTGACAACATTCGATTGTAGTAAGAATGTTTTCTTTTTGGATTGTTTTCAGTCCCAAATCAGATCAGACCAGATCAGATCTAATGATATTACAATTAAACACACCAGACAAGACCAGGCCAATTTGGACAATTATATAGTACACAAAGACCAAACATTTATCAAACCAGACTAGACCAGACCAAAGTTAAACAGATCAAATTAGACTTAAATAGATAAAACCTAGGGAATTTATCACAAATAGACCAAAAAACAAAACAATATCAATTTTGTCACGGTTCGGTCATCTTTTCAAAAATAGACTATTCATTTCACTATTAGCCCATAAGCTCTGTAGCACACTAACGGAAAGCTCGGGTACGTACATAACTAGACCCGTAGCACACTTTAACGGAAGCTTTGGTCCGTTCATAACTAAAGTTAACAACTCAGCATAGTAGAAGTATTGCCACGTGAGTTACAAAGCTATAGAAAAATAGAAAATACACCAATTACACTTCTTTTTTGTTTTTAAATCAAAACTAGTACAAAACAGAAATGTCAAAATTATTAAAATTTAAAAAGATAAAACCAAATACAAGAAGTAATAAAAGTCTAAAACTAAAAGTAAAAACTTGAATTAAAAAATAAAAAATATAAAGAAAACTCAAACTTGAAAAGATGTAATTAGAATTATAAAAATAAGAAAAATAAAGATCAAAACAATGTTAACAAGTTAACAAAGATTGTAGAAAAAGAATAGAAAGTGTGCTATTCAATGAATTATTCAAAAAATAGTTAATTAACTTTATGTAGAATACATATAAAACTGTACAAGTTATAAAAAAAATTAAAATTAAAAAAAAAACTCAAGAAAAAAGAGAATAAAAGGTTATATTTAAAAATATCTCAATATTGAAAAGAATGTAAATTAAATATTTAAAATAAATTTTAAAAATTCTGAAAAGTTTTGAACAACTAAAAAACATGTAAAAAAATTAAACAAAAAGATAAAACAGGATAATGAGAATGTTAAACTTTCGAAATAGTAAAGAATTTAGGCAAAACTGTGCTTTACTAATACAAATAAGATATATAAATGACATTTATTTTTAAAATTTCTAACCACATAATTAATTTATTTTAAAAAAAACTAAAAAAGACCAAAACTGGAAAAAACTTAGTTATACACTCAAAAGTATAAAATATAAAATATGTACCAACATCAAAATAATATATATTTAATTTATGTAAAAAGTTGAATATTTGTATTAAAAATTGAAAATCACAAATTTGTATTAGCAGTGAAAATGTGAATAAAAAAATAATTTAAATTTTTTATGAAAGAGTAAATATTTTAAAAAAGTGCGGACAATTAAATATATAATTTGAACATACTAAAAAACTCAAATTGAACTTTATAAAGTAAACTAAAAATAGAAAATACAACTAAAAAATTTCTAAAAAACTATATATTTAATGTAAACTAAAGTTATTAAATAAAGTAATTTTTTTATAAACTCAGTAAATAAATATATAACTTTTTTTGTTTGTTTTTGCATATTGTTTCTTTTTATTTCTTTTTGTTGCATATTGTTTCCTTTTGTTGATAACTCTGGATTTTTTGTTTTTTATTGTTTCATAAATGCAAATTTATCATATTTGAGATTTAATATAAATGTATATATGATTTTTTACCTCAAAGAAGTAGCAAAGATAAATAAAAATCTAAATAAACAACAAAAATCAAGAGCAACTATAAAACAAAAATAAGTAAGAAAGTGCAACAAAATGCAACACGATGCAACACAAAACAACAAGATGCAACAATAAGCAACACATTTAATACAACAATAAGCAACAACAAAAACATTTGAAAGCTTTACAAAAAATGTATATTTCAATCTAATACATTTATCTATTACGGAGTATAACATTTGACTTGGTTCTTCTACTTCCATCTATGTTGTATCTTTATACACAATCCATCAGGTTTCTATCTCTTTACTTCGTTTCTTTGTATATCTTCACACCTTCAGCATATTCATGTAAATATTTTCTTAGAATGTGCCTCCGATGAGAACGGGATCATTACTAAACCAATACGTATAGACAAGTCTTGGTTGAAACCATGCTCGATTACCTACATCATGTAAGACTTACATCAGAGAGCGCCATCATAGTAACCTTTGCACAACTTAATTTCAACGTAACAAAACTAAAGGCATTGATAGGAGATCCAAATTTGACAATTGTCGGTCTATCATAATGTAGAATAGATATGATGCTTAAGAAGAATCCTATACAGAGGAACAGAAGCAACTGTATCATGGAGTGTTTTTATCTGGAAATTATGTTATTTGCTAATCTCTAAAATTTATTAGTACATTTAGCTCTAAAATTTCAAAAACATAGAAAAAGACATGCCAATTCAAAAACAAAACACTTCTAGACAAAAGCAAATTGCAAAACGTAGGCAGTGAGGGCTACATTACGTGTGCCAACGAAGTGATTAACTTACTCGATCTAATGAATTCGATACAAAACAGAGTTAACAGATAATTATACTAGTATTATAATGCAAAGAGACACTCATAATAAGGAAGTCATACAAAAATAAAAGAGATAAAAATAGAAGTCTGCAGTCCAAAACATAGAACCTGATTAGAAAAATATATACCAACGATTGCAAAACTTTATATTATCGAAAAGAAATACTCTGTATACAAATAAGTCAATAAGATATAAGAATTTTGGGATTATTATTAAAACATCAGATGTTTAGCATGTCTCAAATTCTTCATGGAATGAGAATATATTAGGTAAAATAAATTTGAAAAGGGGCCAAAGTTTTCTGCCAAGTTTTTCTGGAGAGGTGTTCCAGTCAATGGGAGGTTATTAGCTGCAGGTAGTAGTTTTAATATGAACATGAGATGAGTACCATGCCTTTTCTATTGCAGTTTCTCTTGTGAGAAATGTGAAACCTAGTTGGGATCCATCTAAAACAAATGAAGTAAAGGAAGGATCAAAGTCTGGCATTAAATTGCAGCACATGTTGTAACACTAATCAATTAAACTCCAAAACAAAGGCAAATCAGATGTCATTCCAATAAATTTCACATAGAATCATTAAGGTGATTTAGAAGCATCAAATTTATTTCCCTCAGATCGATCATTGACACAAATTAGACGATTAGTTAAGTTTCAATAAAAGATCTATATCAATTCAGATACCTCTCTGTACATGGAGTGGGAAAATTAGTGTATACCTCAGTGTTGATATTCATCTCGAAAAGCTCTGATCAATGTTCTACGATGATGCTTTCTATGTGATGCTAGTCGGAGAAGATAAATGAGCTGGTTTCTCTTAGAAGTGCAGGGAGTGCGGAAGAGTAATAGATTGCTCATTGATCGGAAGCTATTGCCGTCAGAAGCATAGGCAGCGGAAGCAGCGGAAGAAGACGGTGAGACTTGGATTAAATTACCTATGTATTTCTAAAAAGAAGATAGAATGGGAAGAAGATGATGCGAGCAACTAGAGCCTGAGAGATGGATACTCCTCCATCTTCGAATTGAAATCCACTAGTGTGAAGCTTGAATTACCAGCACCCAACATTGATCTCCAGAGTTCCAGACAACTTCGATGTAAATGGATTTAGGTCTTAGTTGTCTGAGATAGCCGATGGGGGAGGAAACGACGATACGAAACGGAAAGGGGTGGGAAGAAAACAGTCTAAAAGTGAAATAAAAAACCAATATTGAAAAGATAAAAGTTAAAAATGAAAAGAAAAATCAGCAAGGCCATAAATGATATCCTCCACCCAAAAATAGACTCTACGGGTAATTTGCACTAAAACCTAACCACACAATCAAATTTCAATCCAAGAAAAATCTAAAAAACCGAATGGATTCTATAGGTATAAACCGTTGTAAAACTCAACAACAGTTCAACGTTCATTAAAAGAAACCAACACTCAACAACTGTTCGTCGAGGTAGTTGTTACTGCCGATCAAATTCATCTACGGGGATGGAGAGCCGTGTCCCCAGGAATTTGGCAAGCTCCTTAAGCAGCAAGTCAAAGCAGGCGTTAGTTCTTTGGGCGGAGGGTTTCAGGGAGGCTTGCTGTGTTCACCGGGTCTTTGTCTACTGCATCAGGTTCTCCTTCCCCAGTTTTGTTCACCACTCTGTTTTGCTCATATCTCCGATGAATTTACTGCTTAATAGCGAACTATTTCTCTCTTGGGCTTTTTTTATATGTCTGATTGAAGGTCAAGACAGCTTGCCATCCGAACTGGCCAGTGTTTCTTACTGAATGGCTTTATCTTCTTAGGAAGGTAATGTTGTATCTCTGTATTATGTGTTTAGTGCGGAATATGTTTTTCATTTAATTAAACCCGTGTTTAGTGCGAAAATGAGTTTTTTTTTATATCCAAAATTTACTTTGATATGATTGTAAGTTGTAACTGGGATGAAGTTATATAAACCAAATCAAGTACTTGGGAAAGATTGATCACAACATGCTTCTCTGAATATCTTCTCTTGCAGTATCTTTCTTCTGAAATCAGTCATTGTTCCAGCACTACAGTGGATATTGCCGGATCAATGCCCAGAGAGCACTTCAGAAGGTTCATTTTCATGTGGGGTTATAATGGAGTTTTATAGTTTCTTACGCCTTGGACTTGTGAAACTACTCTATGTGAGTTATTATTGTGTTTCCCTATGGTACAAGATATTTGACATATTATTGGGTTGGAGCTTTAGGTGGCCAGTGTAGTCTTCAAATTCTTGATGTAGTTGTTCACAACCTTCTAAATATATATTCTGCCTACACTAAGAATCATTAAAATTTCGAATGAGCAATATATTTTTTAGCACTGTTATTTACTTTTATGGTTTTCCTTTGTAGGTTTTCTGGTTTTTTCCATTATACATTTTGAGCTACATCCTCAGCAATATATGGTATTTCTTATCTTCACTTGGCCAGTTTCTCTTCTGTTTTATGATGTGAATTACTGCTTGTCTATAGCTTCAGTTTTTTTTGCGTATTATAATATTGTAGAGCCAAAATTTGAGATAAGTTTCAAATACTTGGTTTTTATTACATAGACTGGAAAGTGCCTCATAGGACTCACTAAACGCTAGAGTTAAGGACTTCTTATAATTTGATAAATCTCTGACTTACAGTCATATCCAGATTAAGGACATGTTTTTTTGTGGTAAATCAATAAGTTGATCTTGAAGTGTTGTATTTAAATGTTTTCTAACATTGCAGTTCTGCAAATCAGGTCATAACATATGGGCACACAAATGAACACATTTGCACTGTAATATGGTGTATTCTGTTCAGGTACAATGACATTGCAATGCATGGTTTTTTTGCACTCGAGGAATATGGACCAACTACTTCTAAATCATCTGATCAAAAGGAGTCACAAGTTTCACAAATAGTTAGTAAGACTAAATCAACTGATTTTGAAGGGTATGTTTATTGTTTACTTGAATGGCTGTATTTAACCCTAAATTAACTTTTTGGGTGCAAAATTATGAGATGTTTCGTTTGAGGAGATTTTTTTATAAGATAATTCCATTTCAGAGTCATGATTGGCATTGCTGAACAAATTTATTCTGTCCTCTTGCTGACTTTCTTCTTCCTAGAGGTGAAATTGTATTTCAAAACGGTGTTTGACACCTCCCCTAAAGAATCAATATGCCTACTGGTGTTCTTTCTGGTTCCAGATTACTGCTATCGGATTCATCCCCTATATTGGAAATACACTAAAGTTTCTGCTTCTTTCTTGGATGTATGCATATTATTGTTTCGAGTAAGTTTTTACTTTAAGATTTCCATTGTCTCTTATATTTCTGCTGATTATTCTGAACAATGCCAATTAAGGAGTTTGTAATTGTAAATGTCTAGGTATAAATGGAATCTATCTGGACTAAGTTTGGACAAGAGGCTGGACTTCTTTGAAACCAACTGGACATTGTTTGCTGGTTTTGGTCACGTTCTTTACATTATTCTTTACCATTTTCTTAATTTAGAGTTTCAAATTTCATCCCTCAGCTTCTGTTTTACTGTGATGTAGTTATACTAGGCAAATGAAATCAGAAACCATTGTGATATAGTTACAGAATGGTTGATTGAAATTTGTAAAAGTGAAATAATTTGTATGTGAGCTCAAACCCAAAACTGTATGACTTCATGTTAATTTCACATTTCCAAACTGAAGATTTTAAAGTTTTGCATTTCAACTTGAAGCCTCATTTTAGTCACTGATTATTTTCTCTATGTAATTGGTGGTATATACTTCCAGGTAGCCCATGTGTCTTGGTGATATTCTTGTTCTCCCCTCTTGTTAGCTACGGGGTTATGGCTTTACTCTTTCCCTTGGTAATAAACTTCTTGCCTCCTTCATCTGTCCTTGGTACTTGATAAAATGCATACAAAAAAGAGACTAACCCTTTGTTTTGCTGTAGGGTTTTGGAGGGGGGATAGTATTTGTTTGGTTGGGGGGAGTTTTTGGATAAAGGAGGAGGAAAGTTGAGGAGCTATAAAATGTTCAAAACTTTTCATAACTCATTCCCCCAATTTGGGGGATTTTGAGACTTGGTTATTCTTAATGTCTAGGGAAAAATCCCTAAATAGGATTTAAAATAATGAAAATTCCAAAATATGAGTACTATGTTTCCACCCTAAATAGGAGTTTCCTACGGCCATATTTTGGCATTACTAGACTTTAAAATTTAAATACAGAAACTTATGACCATATTTTGGACAGAGCAAAGTGGAGGGTGGGTATCCGTGCAGCAGATTGGCCATATTTTTTCCCTTTATCTTTTTTTATCCTTTTATGTTTTTGTTATATATATATATAGTTCGGATCAAATTAAAAAAGGTCTTAACGTGTAAAATAAGAATTAATCTCAGCTGTGCAAATTGTCGATCTGAGCACAATAACGATATCTGATCCACTTTTCATGTAGACCTTATTTGATGCACTTTCTGAAAAGTGCATCAGATAAGGTTACTTCGAAAGAGCATTAGGTTGGGTTATTGTGCATCAGATTGGCAGTTTGGACGGCTGAGATTATTCTTATTTTACACGTTAAGACTCCTTTTTATTTGAACCCTACCCTATATAATAAGTATATATATATATATATATATATATATATATATCTTTGGGAGAATCACACTTTTAATCCCTCAAATAGTATCGATATCGAAATTTAATCCCGTGTACCCACATGTGTAAATGTAACCCCTAAATTGTCTGAATAATTGGTGTAAATGTAATCCTCGCTCACATTGTACATTTCACCCTTCAAAGGACTACATTTACAACAACGGAGACCATTGAGGGGTGACTTTTACAAACTTGAGAATACGAGGATGACATTTCAATACCGGTACTATTTGAGGGACTAAAAGTGTGATTTTCCCTTATCCTTTTTCTCTTATCTTTTTTTTTTTATATATTATCTATATTTTATCTTACCTTTTTTCTTTTTCATAATACCTTATCTTTTATTCTTTCTTATCTTTTTTCTTTTGGCTCCGATATCGTATATTGATTCATGTTTGCCGATACCAAATTCTTTTGGGACTATTTGAGGGACTAAAAGTGTGATTTTCCCTTATCCTTTTTCTCTTATTCTTTTTTTTTATATATATTATCTATATTTTATCTTACCTTTTTTCTTTTTCATAATACCTTATCTTTTATTCTTTCTTATCTTTTTTCTTTTGGCTCCGATATCGTATATTGATTCATGTTTGCCGATACCAAATTCTTTTGGGACTAAGGTTTGGGTGTTGTTGTTTAAATTTTTTTCTACTTCTTCAGTCTATCCTAAAATGGCAATAAAAATTGTACTTTACAGTTTGTGTTGACTGCTACTGGCTCAGAAGCCGACACGAGTGTATCCTTACCAAGAACAAAATGGAGAGGTTCGGGACTTGGAAGGGTTCCAATATTTTACGGCGCACATTACACATCGTAAGTTATCACAACCCTTAACTGGACATGAGTGCATCTTTTTCCATCATTTTGCAATGGAGCCAAAGACTCACTATTTTTTGGCTTGGGAATATGATAGAATAAAGCAAAATGATTTGCTAATAGTCAGTCCATGCAATTTTCGACGTGATTTTGACTATGGGTCGTCCGAAAACAGTCTTTCTGTGCTTTAGTATAGGGGTAGTACACGGCTAAGACTGCGTACATCCAACCCCTTACCCCACCGAAGGTGTGGGAGCCTTTGCAGGGTAATGATGATGATGATGATGATGATGTTTTTATGCATGTGAAACAAAGAATAATGGTTTGCCCAAATATGATTTGATTTGTTTTATAATATTATCTATTGAGTATGCAACATCTTCTCTAAAAAACTGTGTGTAGAAACTAATGATCTCGATGTAGGATCAAAGTTTATGAGATGAATGCATCCTACTCCATATCACCAGTATGCTCATTGCCTTCCTTGGGGAGCATGCTAACATAGCCCGTTTCTGAGCTTAGTATATGCTCTTATTTTTCTTAGAATGAAAGTCTCAAAACTCGAAAAGTGAGTCTGAATAAGAAGTAGTAGACAAAGCTCTTTTAACACAACAAAGCTAAACCCGGGCCCATTATATATTTAACATGGGGATCAAGGTAGTCCAAATCACGAGGCACACTCAAGGTACCAGAGTACACTATCGCCCGAGGAGCAAGGTACAAAAAAGCGCCTGCCTGACTCATTTCAAGTGCATTGCTTAGAAAATATTCCATATATCATTTTACAATTATCAAACGCGATGTAGTTAACATCATATTGAACCGACTGCACTAAAAAGTCATGTTTGTAAAATATGAAGTCACGATTCACCAAAATAAAGTCACAATTTACCAAAATAAGGTAATGCTTCACAAAAACATACCATCCGAATTCGGAATTTATAACTTAAACTAGTTTTTATACGCGCGTTGCGCGAATAAACAAATGCCCAATGTAATTTATTTTGGAAAACATTTTTGCCCAATCATCTTCAGGGGTTAAAACCCTTTTTCTTATCAAATCAATAGTTACCAATTCCAAAAAGCACTCATCATCTCTCTCAATAGTTGGTAATTGCAAAGAAAACATTAGAGACACATAGTTCATCTAAAATACCTTACGATCAAATATTTAACTTCAATAATATCATCACAAAAAAGTACCAACTGCATAATAAACTAAGAAACCCAAGTCACATAAATGAAGATGCAAAAGGTGAAGAGTTTGGTCTTGGTTGGTACTGATAGCTTGAGCTTATCAAGAAGAAAAACAAGAGGCTTTGAGATTAACGTCAGAACTGCTGCCAAAATCATTGAGCCTGAAGCTGATAAGCCTTTAGGGCTCACTCTTGGTCAATAAACTGGTGGTGGAAATAGGTATAAGATAAGTTTAGAAGCATGAGGAAGATCCTTAGAAGCATTAGGTGTAGTTATAAGATGTATCTCAATTGTGTGCTTACAAGCATGAGGAAGATCCTTCCTTTCAAGCTGCATAAGTATAGCCTCCCTAGCTATAGGAAGTGCGATCAGATTCAAAGACATCAGGGTTTACTCGACAGTCCCTAGTTTTACGCTCCCATGGGCTGATGGGCAGCTGTCTTCCCGGCCCCCATCCTTGTACACTATGTAGCAACCTCTTCACACAATCAACACTATCATGCTTCTTTTATATGCTTTTCAAGCTCATACCTAAGTGGCTTAACAAATAGAACCTGACAACATAAAATACAGAAGAGAAACAAAAATAAGAGGCATACAAATATTATCTAGCCTTTCATATTAAAAAGCTATCATCTCAGATCTACCCATAAATGCATGAGTATGGAAGAAAGCACTGAAAACATCAACTACACATATGTCGCCAAATGTGTTTTTGGCTTTTTTTTGTGATTCTAAAAAATAAAAAACAAACACAAATTAAAAAGGGTCACACATTCACACAATGTATCACTTTTTTATAGTTAGAGTGATTTGTTCACTTTGACAAAGAATAACCTGACAAAGCTTTTAGGACATGTAAAACTTCAAATTTTAAGTACTTTGAAGGTAAAAACAAAAGACAAAATGTAATATTTTACAGAATTTGCTTAATTTTAAACACTCTGAAGTTAAAAGCTAAAGAGAATAGTGTTGCTTAAAACTAAGTTTTAATTTTTTGTAATATTTCAGCAAATAATACAAAAAAATCCTTTCTTCTGAACACTACTAATTGATCCGATTAAATATTGAAAAAGGACTATTTATAAATCTACTTGTAAAATTTAAATAAAACGAACCAAACCAAACATTGATGAAAGAAGCACTAACAAATCTTATCTCTACCTCTAGTTGTGACTACTTATGTGTTGAAAGTTATGAGAACACTTAAAACGTCTGATAAGTTTGATGATTTGGTTCTCTAGGAGTGACAACTTATGTGTTATGAAAACATTTATTTTTTTGATAATTTTGATGATTTGATAAACTATTCCAGCAGTAAAGAAATAATTGGAGATCGATGCAGAGAGTGTTAATAATGTGATTAAAAAGGCATACTAACTGAGCAATCAATAAACTGACCTTAAGTTCTTAACCAACACTTTCCTGAAAGAGAAGACCAGCATATTAAATACAAAAACAAATCAAGAGCATGATAGCATCAATACACTTATTGCTAAATAGACTATAAAAAGATGCACAGAGTGGTTAGTATAAAATATCTTAATATATAGTACTTTCCTGAAGTTGTACGTCAACCAATCTATCTATCCACAATATCTATTTACGTTGATATGGAGTATCTGCCACACCAATTATAACTTATTATTATTTTCTAAAGTGTTGAGTATTTACCACGTAAGGCTAAAAACATATATCAGGACTCATTACAGCATTTCCATAGGCAGTTCTGTAAAATAGATACCTTATATTTTTAAAAACTAACAAACACAATTCCACCTTATACTCAACTCACATGAACCGACATTAAACTGTAGCCTTGAAATAAAAAGATTATATAATCACATACATGAAAAAGAAAGAAAACACATACTTTATACTTATCAAACACATGTAAATAAGTCATAAAAAGGAATGATATCTAAAGAAGTGGTTGAAAAGCATTCTCTTGGACAGAAAAAGGGATTGTATCATATGTGAGAAGTGCATTTGAGAGTAAAATATCGATTGGCGCAAATGGATAATGTCTTCTATAGGGAGTGATCTAGAAGAAGATATTACTTGTGCCCAATCTCAAGGATTCTAGAGCTCTAGTTTCTGCTCTTAACAAAACAACCAAGAAGATGTATTTAAAATCAGTAGAGCTAGCTTATTGAAAGAATTAGTTATACATCCGCATTCACTTGCAACACAACAACGATTCCTTCACAGTTCAGTGCAAAACTCAACTACCTTAAGAATATGTATTAGCCATTACGTAGACACCTTTCAGTATTAAACGATTCAAGATACATTGTTACCTTGTTTATGTTGATTATTCTAAAACTACTACACCATGTTTATATGTATACAGATTTGTTCCACGCTTCTACTTGCTAGTCTGAAATAATGTTTCTAGCTTTAGGCAATTGTAAATTCAAACACACATAAATATACTCACTCCTTATAAACTTGAATACTACGTACTTTTTAACTTCGTCTTACCACGTTACATGCTTGCAGACACATTGTTTTTTATGGACTATTGTGTGAGTATCCAAAATTAATTGACCCTAGATGATTTTATCTTATACTACATATTATATTTGGAGTACTAAAATATTTTAAAAAACTCATTTAGGCATATACACAAACACTTAGCATGCTTCAGAGAGATATAGTTTTCTCTCCCAAATTAGGATCATATTGGCATACCACTCACATATCATAACAAGTCTTAGTCATCACGAGCATGAGAGTTTCACTGTGTGCCTGTGTTTCTGGCATGAGGTTTCCGCCGCCCAATTATGCAGCCGACATGAGGGGGTAGTCTCCGCGCGCAGACACATGATTTGGGAATCGGTCATCGCCCTTGTTGTTCGTCTCGAGGAGGCCGAAGTTCTCCTCAAACTGCCTAGTAGCATATCTCATCCATGGACTTGAAGGAATTGTACTCTGTTGTGTGTATTGCGGTTGGGAAGAGATAGTTCAAATTTACAGATGAAATATTTCCTCAATAAGATCATATGACAACCAGATTGCGTTGGGACCTGGGAGGTGAATTTAGGTATGGCTGGTGTGAATAGATAAGCGTTCGGGGTTAACGGGAAGAAGATGACGTTGAAGGAGGTCGCAGGTCTATTAGCTAATTGTACAAATATGAAAGGGTAATGTATAAACACGTATAGCAGTACGTTACCACCAACATTTTTCTAATTCCAAAAAGGATATAACCATGATTGAGGCTTATAAGTTTTTAGATAGTAAAATTGAAAATAAAACATAATTAGACTCTAGCCCAACCCCCCTTGCTCGTCTTTAAAAGACAGTCCGTTTCTTTTCCATTTTTTATTTGGAAAAAAACCCTCAATATTACCAAAACATACCACTTTTCCTAAAATATGACCAAATCTCTTTTTGTTCCCATCTTATGACCTCACATACATGGCCTAGGAAAACATACCGTATGGTTTAATTAGCCTCTTCGCATAACCATACGGAAAGATGCTGTTTGGGAAAGATGCTGTGGTTTAGTAATATCCCTGATAATTTTCTCTTTTGATTTATATTCTCCTACATCCTCTTCAATTTCTCCATCACTTTTCTCATCCACAAGCCTACAATTAGTATTTGCACTAGAAATTTTGGACTGCCTCCTAGTATATCTTATCAGTTCTTCTACTCCTTTTACTCTACTCACAGCACCCCATGTCAAGCCATCACCTTTGTCATCAATGAAAACTAAATCATTTGGAGCACTTTGATGCAACCACTCATTGTAATCATCAATATTATCTAAAACAATAGGATCTGTGATATCTTTGGAGTCAAAACGAGCTTTCAAAGTTGTATTATACTTGGCAAAACTAGATCATTTAGCTTCTGCATTCCTAGCTCGTTCCTTCGCTTTGTGTGAATCTTGAACATAAAGATATATAAATTACTTCTTTAGTGCTTTAAGTGTTTTTTTACTGTAGTGCTTTAAGTGTATAACAATTGATTTCTAGGAGTTGTAAGTTAAAAATGTACATGTTCAAACATATACCAGTTGCGTTCACGACCTCAAGCACTCACTACACGTGTGGGCTAAGAATTCTCATGGTCAATTTTTGTAAGTTGTGGGTTGTGCTCTCATACAAGCGCCACCACTTAGCTGCATTTATGACATAAAAAATCAGAATGAATTGATGAGTATATAGTATGCCTGCTGCAGTAATATGACAGATTGTTAAAGAATCAATCCAAAAAGTGCATGTTACCTGGATCCTTTGTTTTTCTTGTCAAAACTGTCAATTTGATACCAAACAGACTTTCAACCCTTATATTTTGACAACTCATCAATATTCAGAAGTGGATCTCTATCCTCTGGAATCATTGAGTTTGAATGTTCCTTTGTAGTTATCTTCTCTTCCTGTCTTCCCTGAAAAGCTTTTATTATAGCTTCTTTGGCTCTATCCATTGCTTCGTATATGTATCCCATAGCCAGTTTTCTTTCATTGTCAGATTGAGTATGTTATTAGCACTATTTGAGAAAGTAGGCTTCATCATGTGTCTTTGACTTGTATTCCCAGGTCTGATCAGATTTCTTTGTCCTGTGTACCTCCTCACTAAGTTCAACAATTCCACATGGTTATAAATAAAACTAGTCAAAGTCATATCCCGTTTTAAGGTTTTCAAAATCAAGGGCAACTTTCCAATGTCTTCTAGCATGTGATCAATGCAGTCTGCACCACATGGCGTGCAATATATGTTTGGCCTCTTAGTTTCTAACAATCTACCACACAACTTAAAATTAGGACCATTATCGATAACCACCTGGACAACATTAGCCCCCCTACATATTTAAAAAATCCATCAAGTGGCTCTAATACCCTTGAACCCATTTGAGGCATCCACAGATTTGGCAAAACACACATCTGGCCAAAGAGTGACCTAAGAAATTTACTATGCATGGACTTGTGGTGCTAGTCCAACTATCCGCCATTATTGAGCAGCCATGTTTCACTCACATGTTTCACTCACATGTTTCACTCACAGAGCTCTATGTTCTGCTCGAATATTCCGGATGTTAGCAACTTCTTTCAAACATGTAACCCTCACTTCATGGTAGCTATCGGCTTCAAATTTGGACCATATTGTCCAATTGCTTCAATGGCACATTTAAATAAATGCTATCACGCAACATGGAAAGGAATGTCATTGAGGTAAAAAAAATGTTTGATATATATTGAATAGCTACTTTCCTTCTTTACTTATCCAACCTTATCCAACTTTTCGTCAATCTTCAATTGCCTCGGTCTTCCTTGCTTTTGAAGCTCAAAAGCTCGACCACAGTTTCTGGTTTCGTGTAGAACTGTAGATAAACGTGTCCATAGGACCTTTTCCTTTCCCGTCTTTAGAGGTGCTGTGCCCTTCTTTGCATCATGAACTCTTTTTAATTTGCCTCTAGAATCTCTTTCCAACTCCTCAAGCTCACCGTCATCCTATCCTTTTCTAGGTCATGAAACGCATCAAAATCAGGATGTTTTGGCAATTTAGCATAATTGATCTTAGCATCCTTTTTTATTTGCATATATTTTCTTAGCATCTTTTTAATATGTTCTGGGAATCTGGGCATTTCAACCCAGCTTCCCGTTTGTTACCTTTCCACAATACATGCAAGTTACTTCGTTTGCATCATTTTCATCAGACAAGTAATTTTGTTTACAAGCCGGGTCCTTTTTGCTGATTTGGCAGCTTCAGGACCTATGGCCGAAGTTCCGCCTTCCATGTCCTGTAAAAGCACAAGGCAGATATTATATACTATCATCTGTTTCTTTTTAGTTGCAACATGGATAATTTTACACTATTCACATACTCTACTTTGACTACATTTTATTTATTAATGTATGAGAATTACTTTTTTTGAAAAATATTATTGAATTCATCTCAATACAAATGAGAATGTGATGCGTCCGGCGCTGGCGTGGGAGCAGTACTCGTGCAGGAGCGGCGGCCTATTGCGTATTTCAGCAAATCCTTGGCGGTCAGAATCGTTACCAACTCAGCCTAAGAAAGAGAGATGACGGGGTTAGCTTTTGCAGTTCAGCATTGGCGACCGTATTTGATTGGGCGGCGGTTTGTGGTTCGTATTGATCACAGCGCGAGCAACACTAGCACAATAGGTCTGAGTGGCAAAATCGTTGGGGTATTATTTTGAGATCGAGTATAAGACACACATCTCAAAAGCAAGGAGATAAGGGGGCAGCTATTCAAACTGTGGAAGAGCTTTTGAGCCACAGCTGTCAATGTGGCCTCCTCTCCTCTTCTCCACATCAGCCTTCTTAAATTTCAATTGCTTTGTGTCAATATCATCGTCCGATAGAGAGTGAGCTGCCGGAGAGCTTGGAACCGCCTGTAGGGCCGGTGTTGGAACCTGAAGAGGTATTGGCTAGTAGAATGGGAGGAGACAAAGGGGCAGCTATGGAAGAGTTATTGGTTAAATGGTTGGTGCAACCTAGTGTTGAAATTGATATAGAGCAGGGAGCAGGGTGCCGGAGCGGAAGAGAGGGGTCCGAGACCCAGGCCCCTGTTGGTCACCGTAGGTGGGGACGGGTTTGAGTCCACCTTTGTGGGCTTGTTTTTTTTTTTTAATTTTAATTAGCTTCAATTCTATTGTTTCCTTTTATAATGTTTCCTATTATGGTTTTATTATGAATTCTATTATGTTTCCTAGTTTATTCTGGTTTGGTTTAAGGGTTATTTAAAATTTTAAACCCCTACTTAGGGCTGTTCGAACCAGGCATCAATAATATTGGAATTTTTAGCTATTAAGCTTGGGCAACGGTTTCTTCCGTTGATTGTTAATTTTCGGTTTTCAACACTCGCCTTGTGCGCTTAAGCGCCCAGGTGCTTGCTTTTGATTACACTGGTGGGATATTTCACCAATGCATTGGTTCTGCATTGTACTTTACAGGATGCAGATCTTGGCCTTGTTTCCTACACACGGCAGGGGTGTGCCAGAATACAACGAAAGCTAGGAGTCAGGCATCATCTGTACATTAATACTTCAAGGTAAGAAAAACAATATTATTGTCTGTATATACATGGTAAAAACTCATAACATGTAGTTCTGAATGCAAATGTTTATATTATGATATATGATTGTATTATGAAATAAGTGATCAACAATGTGAATGTGTGTTGTGTTTAGATGTTAGGCAGGTTTAGATTTGTCGGTTCATGAGAAGTAGGCGGTCAAGAAAAGTCTACTGACATTATAATAAATAATACTCTGTCCCACTATAATTGTCCCTTTTTTCTTTTTTCATCTGTCCCACAAAAAGTTGTCTCATATCATATTTGGTAATATTTGTGTGGTTCTAATTCATTCTTGTTGTATTCCCACTATCAATTCATTATAAACCACATAATTATACTTTTCTTAAAAATCGCACCACCCCCTTTTGTCCCAATCTTAGGGGGGCGGAGGTAGTAATGGTAATAATGATCATCACTCATTGGCTGTCTAGTGTACACAGACAGCAACATTTTGTTTTAAAGTTGTAACGGATATGTTATATTCCGTAGTTTTCATTAGGAATTTGGGCCCAGCTTCCGTAAACCATTTGAAACTACAAGTTACTCCGTCGTATTTAATTGTTGATCTTGCAGTAGTGCTCTGTGTGTCTGTTTTCGTTGTTTTGTACTGCATCAAATTTTGTGTTGCCGCCCAGTTGAACTGTGTAATTAACTATGGAGTAAAATTTTACAATCTAGAGAGTACCACTCCCTCCAGTTGTTGTATAAACCAGCAGGCCTCATTAACCCCATCCCTGTGTAGGCGCTCTGTGGCGCCCAGTTTTTTTCCTGCTGGTAGTATTCCACCTAATTTGTTTATATCCTGTTTAGCTCTTATTATTTCCCAGGAAACCTTGCCCCCCTTCTTCCGTGTAGTGATTTTTACAACATCAATGTCCTCCGTCCCAAAATAAGGTTTTCGGTTTAGTCATGTGATTGAGAATCCTGTCATTGAGATCTGTGTCAATTTAAGTGATAATATCACAACTTTTTCTTCAAAAGAAATGTAGCATTTTATTTCAGAACAGATGAAAAATGATACTCCCTCCGTCCCATTTAAATCTTTACACTTTCCTTTTTGGGACGTCCCATTTAAATCTTTACGTTTCCTTTTTTGGTAACTTTGTCAACACTAAATTGTCCTAAATACCCTTTAGTTATCTTACCCACCCACAGTTAATTACCCCTCAAGAGACGATACCCACACTTTATTACCACAACTTGTAACCTTCCAGAGAACACCACCGAGATACCCGCATAGTGTAGAAGCTCGTAAATCAAAGATTGGGGCAACTGAGTTCTTGATGCCGCCGATGCGTCGGCTCCAGCTCCGGGAACGGCACTTTGCCGGAAAACAGGAGTGCAAAGAGGTGAAATCAAAGAATGCAACGAAACATAAAAAACGAGAACAAGGGTGTGGCGAGAAGCAGCGGGCAGAGCAGAGAGGCCCTTTTTGTGTTTCGGTCTTCATCTTCGGAGTAGGAGATGATAGAGTAACAAATTGGGTCTCAATATTTTAGCTTTGAATTTGATCTGTTTGTGTTCTTCCCTATTTGAATTTACTCCGTATAAGAAATTGTTGATCCGGCTACAAGAATTATAGAATATGGCCGGAAAGGGAGATGAATGGTAGATGTGCTCCCAGACCCCCCTATGCTGCGGTAATTGCAACAAAGGTAAAAGGGGTTTTAGTTCTTCTATTAATTGCTATCCTAAATTATCGTGCCAAAATGAAACGTAAAGTTTCATTCGGGACAGAGGGAGTACTTTTTGGGATAGATGGAGTATTCTGATTTCCATTTAATTATTTGTAACTTTTAGTCCCACAATTATAATGCGTTTTTTTACTTTTAATCCATATGTTTCCCATATGTTTGCACACGACCATGAGTCCATGAATCTCTTACTTTTGATCCTTCTTACACTTTTATGCCAAGTTTCATACAATTCCTGGATGTTTTAGCCGGGCAAGTGACACAAAGAATAAAAACTTTAAGACAGTTAGTGTTGTATTATAAAAGCGGAGTTAATGGATTAGCTCACCTCTTAAGTTTAGTATTTAGCTCACCCATTCATTTTCCCCTGGAGTGGTATTTAGCTCCCGATTTAATCAGAATTCTAAGGCTTCGCTTTGATACCCGAAAAGGTTAGCTAAAGCAAAGAACAAATTTAAGGAGAGTTATTTTCTTAGCTTAGGATTTATCTCACAAAAGGTAAAAGGAAATTAAATATGATTAATTAGTGTTTTTTTAAACTTTCACATAATAATATACGTAGTAGTACACATTAATACATAAAGTGAATTCAAACAATATTAAATGAAGTTAATTATACTCTTATTTTTCCCAGTTACTCGTTGCAATAAGATCAACATTTAAAAAGGTCTACGATTTGTGAATAGTATTGTAGAAAGGGAAAATGTGGGGAGAAGTTTGAAAGTATAGATCAATAGCAAGGATATTCAGTCATTTAGAGATGCATATATGAGAAATGTTTTTAGAAACAATGTAATTTGTTTCATCAAGCTTAACATTTTTTACAATTAATCAAGCTAAGTGCCACACATTATTTTACATTGGTTTATATTATGACTATCTGAAAAAGACAATTCCCCAATCCGACTTGCGTATCTCATTTTACATTTTAAAAGTTTATCCACTTTTAAAGAAGCCCCCACAGTGTTGCTCGTGGGATTCTATTCTTTGTCCTTGTATCAAATTTTCATCTCAAGAATCAACTCAGCTACTTGATAGTTGATAAGTGATCAAGTGTTATAATTATTAGGGCGAATAATCGAAAAGTGAACCGCTATAACCGTACCAAGATGGGAAAAAATCAAACCGGAAGAAAACCGACTTTATCGGGACCTGAAAGTTGGTATCCGAACATTAATCGGTTTAAAATTGGTTTGAGAGGTTAGTAAATGAGTAAATCGGTTCAAATTGAACCAACTGATTTTATTATTTGTTTAAATATTTTAGTTTTTTCTAGAATTAAGGAGCCCATATCAGCAAACTAAGGTAGTGTTTGATAAAATATATGCTTTTTGTGTAATAGAAAAATTAAAAAGCAGTTTTTTAGCTTTTAGTTTTTAAGTGTTTAATTTAAGTAGAAATTGTCACTTGAAAATACTAATTTCAGCTTTTTAAGCAAAAAATCGAGAAGTGCTTTTTTAAGCGTTTGCAAACAGACTCTATATGTGTCCACTCTACCATCTGGAATCCACGTGGACCACATAACTGTATTTCCTCATATAGCAGTATAGCATATATTGAAGCGTGCCACACGGTCTCCTTAAAAAGAATTAATAATTATTTCAACTGTCCTTGTATGTTTTTTACAGCTGCTTTCGGTACGAAGATTAAAAAAATAACATTATTTTCAAAGGGAAAAAATGCTGCTGCAAAATCCTTCACTCAAAAAAGAAATGGAAAGACAATTTTTAGACAAATGGAAAAGTTCATTTAGGAGAGTATTCAGAAATATATACTGTGAATGCTATATATGCAGTGGAGCATGAGGTACTAGAGAGACAGAGGGGAAGATTTGAGGGCTTTATGTCAGCAACAATTTGGTAAACAATTTGCTAACCTCTCTTTGGAATAGAAACTGGGGCTGTCTCTGTCTGTCCAATGCTGAACCAGACTGTACGTACATACCTAGGATGACGCCGTGGTTGAGCGGAGCACTTGCAAGTTGCAAAATCTCATTGCCTTGGCCTTGTTTGGCTGCAGTGCATCATCTGCTAGTAGTTTCAATTGCATCTTCTTCTCTCTTTTGCTTTTAAAAGTTCTTTATTAAGAAGGCTAGTGAATATGAGGTAATTGCTTCAGGCATCATCCTCCAACTCCTTGTATGTTGAAGGCACTATTTATTTAGTTCCGCAATTTCCTTACTCCTTTTTATTACCAATAAATGCCATTTTATAGATTTCTGAGTTGTTCAGTGCCATTTTATAGATTTCTGAAACATTTTCCAACTAAAAAATGTCCAAATAAAAATAATAAAGTATACATTCTCTATAAGATTTCTTAATGAACCACCTGAAGAGAAAAATAATTTTTGTTTAAAAAACTACTTATCTTATAATATACGAAGTACATAAGATAAGATAACATGTCATCGCAAATTTAGCATTTAGACTAAATTGTGGAGAATAATAAAAAATCAGTACTCTACCAAATCAATATGAGTTAAAGTAAAAATTTAGAGCCCGTTTTGCAGCACAAAAATCGACTGATTTGGTTGATTCTGTTGAAATTAATGAAGTTCTTGCTGAAGTGGCTGCATTGGCTGATTCTACTGATTTAAGAAAAAAATATTTTTAATTATATTTTATTAATAAAATAAAGAAAATATTACATGTAAAAATAGCTAAAATGGTCATCTACTGTTAATGATAGAATATTGTATAAATCTTTTTATTATACTTTGCATATATTTATGGTTAGAATTGATCATGTAAATTGGTATATTTTAGGTCCTGACATGTTTACCTTCTATATCCATGTTGTAATGACTATATAAGCAATTCAATGAGAAAGTGGAAATCATCCTTTCCCATTCAAATCATTTGTTTAAAGTTTTACATGGTATCATCCTAATATATCGATCCTATGTCTACAGATCCAGAATTCTCTTCTGCCAATTCCCCTTTGTCCCAAATTTTGGCCATGGCAGTGAGCACTGGTTCCTCCACTTCCCTGCTTCAACTTCCATCCATCAACCTTCGCCTTGATAGCACAAACTATTCTCTCTGGAGAGGCATAGTGCGTTCCGCTCTTGAAGCATATGACCTTGATTCTTGCCTTAATTCGGTCAATACACCACCGACCACCATCATCGATCAACCAGCAACATCGACAACTCAGGCAACCACCAAGGCTAACCCCGCCTATACTGCGTGGATCAGGAAGGACCATCTGATTCTTCTCTGGATTCGCTCCACGCTCACCACTCCCCTTCTATGGCTGGTCGCCCGCGCCACATCTTCTCACGAAGCCGGGACGATGCTTGAACGGATATTTCACGTCCAAACTAGGTCTCGACAGATGCACCTCCGCCAACAACTCCAATCTCTCTCAAAAGGTTCTCTTTCAATTCTTGAGTACTTCGAGAAGAAACGTGCAATCGCAAATAGTCTCCTTGAATGTCTTGTTGTCATCCCTGATTCTGACTTTGTTGACTACCTTGTCTATGGTCTCGGCTCTGCTTATGGTTCTTTCCGCTCTGCTCTGTCACTACATGGTGTAGACTTGACCTCTGATGCCCTTCTGAATCTTCTGCTCCGAGAAGAACAACGCCTAGAGGAGGAAGCTCGTAAAACCGACATTGTCACACCAGAGGCTCATTCTGCCTCTCGCCTGCCCCGGAATCATCACTCTATGGATGCTTCACCCTCACAGCCTTCTGATCGACCTCGCCCTAAGTGTCAAATATGCAAACGCCTTGGACACGAGGCTATTAATTGCTATCAACGCCTGAACGCCAACACATTTCCAGCAACCGGTCCACCTCCTCGTCGAAATCAGCAAAGAGGCAGCCAGCAGCGCCAGCAGCAGCAATCTGCTCCACCGCCACCTCCTACTACATTCTTGGCATCAACATCTAGTCCCTCAACTCTTTATGATCCTTGGGTCATAGACTCAGGTGCTACACATCATGTCACCGGTGACCTTGGCAAGCTCTCCATGTCTCACCCTTATGACGGTAATGAAGGTCTCATGGTTGGCAATGGCCAGTCCCTCCGTATTACGCATTTAGGGCATTCTACTCTCTCTGCTTTGCGTGCTCCAAACTCTTCTATACACTTACACAACATCTTACTTGTCCCTGATATAAAAAAGAATTTACTTTCTGTTTCTAAGTTTTCACGTGACAATAATGTTTACCTTGAATTTCACCCTCATTGTTGTCTTGTGAAGAATTTACAGGGGCAGACGTTGCTAAGAGGGACGCTTGAGAATGGTCTATACCGACTACCATCATTGCCTCAACCATTGTTCTAAAACTCGCTAGGCGTTAGTCGGGCGGTTGAGGGGCGTCTAGCGCCTAGGCGGCCGACTAGGCCGATTTTTTGGCCGACTAGGCCGATTCGGCCTCTACGGTTAGGTCCGCCTAGGCCGCCTAGGCCGATTAATCGGTCCGCCTAGGCCGATTTTTAGAACAATGGCCTCAACTATCCTCTCCCAGTGTCTTCTTTGGTGAACGTACTTCTTTGGAATGCTGGCACCGAAGATTGGCGCATCCAAGTGAACCGATTTTACGTCGACTAGTGTCTACCTTTTCTTTACCCATTACTAATGTCTCCCCACCCAGTGTTTGTGATTCTTGTCAATTAGGAAAAGTCACCGTTTTCATTTATCTAAACGGGGTGAATCGTCTAAAACCCCTTTTGCTTTGATTCATTCGGATGTTTGGGGCCCTGCCCCTTTCTTATCTCTTAATGGAAATCGCTATTTTGTTTCGTTTATTGATGATTGTACCAAGTATACTTGGATTTATTTTCTTATTAATAAATCCCAAGTATTCTCTGTCTTTACATCATTCAAACAAATGGTTGAAAATCAATTACACACCACAATCAAAGCTATGCAAACTGACTGGGGTGGTGAATTTCGACCCCTTTCACCATTTTTGGCTAAACATGGCATTATACATCGTGTTTCCTGCCCATACACCCCAGAACAAAATGGCTCGGCAGAACGACTAAACTGAACGGTCATTGAAAAAGGTCTCTCTTTACTTGCTCACTCAAAATTACCCACAAAATTCTGGGAACATGCCTTTCACATGGCTGTTTATGCTACCAATCGCACCATTACACCTAATCTTGATTTTAAATCCCCATATGAAAGTCTTTACTCTTGTAAACCGGACTATGGTTTTTTAAAATCTTTTGGGTGCTTATGCTTCCCCTTCCTCAAACCTTACACTAGCAACAAATTGGAATTTCGTTCACTGCCATGTATCTTTTTGGGGTATAGTTCCAAACAGAAAGGTTATATTTGTTTCCATGTATCTTCTTCCAAATCTTTTATTGCCTGACACATTGTTTTGATGAGTCTGTCTACCCATACTTATCCCACAGTTCGTCTACCTCTCCACCTGTCATTCCCTCTATGTCTCTTCCCCCTGATCCTTTGCAGCATGCCTCATCTCTCTGTCCAGTACCATCAGTTACACCATCTCCATCTATACCTCTCTCCTCCCCTCAAGACCCTCCCAACTGAGCCGCCACATCACCATTGTCTCCAATCCCATTGCCTGATGGCAGCCCTGACATCTCCCCGCTAACTTCCTCAACCGAACCACCACCGGCTCCGACCTACTCAGGTGCTCCCTCCTACTTCCGAGCCTCTTCTGATTCCCATCATACAATGGTAACTCGTGCCCAAACAGGTAATCTTCAACCCAAAGCTCTCACCTCTACTAAATATCCTTTACTCACTGACCACATTACCCCCGTTGAACCCAAAATTTTCTCCCAGGCCTCCAAATATCCCAACTTGCAGCACGCCATGCAGCTTGAATATGATGCTCTTATGCGTAATAAAACCTGGGAACTTGTTCCTAGGCCTTATGGGACTAACATTGTTGGGTGTAAGTGGATTTACAGGATTAAGAGGAAAGCTGATGGCACAATCGAGCGCTACAAAGCTCGCCTAGTTGCAAAAGGATTTCTGCAAGAAGAAGGCATCAACTTCTCCGACACATTCAGTCCTGTGATCAAACCCACCACCATTCGGGTTGTTCTCAGTCTTACGGTTACTCAGAACTGGCATCTTCGACAAGTTGATGTGAACAATGCTTTTCTCAATGGTGACCTCAGTGAAACCGTCTATATGGACCAACCTCAAGGGTTCATTTCACGTGACAAACCAACTCATGTTTGTCGCCTCTCCAAGGCTCTCTACGGACTCAAACAAGCACCGCTTGCTTGGTTTCACAAGCTCCAATCGTCTCTTCATCACCATGGCTTCAAAAATTGTATCTCGGACTCCTCTTTATTTATCAAACGGTATGATCAGGATGTTGTTTATGTCCTAGTCTATGTTGACGACTTAATTATCACTGGTTCCAATGTCAAATTCATAGATGAGTTTGTTCAGCACCTGAATACCACATTCTCCTTAAAGGACTTGGGCACTCTTCATTACTTCCTTGGGATTGAGGTTCTCCGCACTCCATCTGGTATTCTCTTATCCCAAAAGAAATATATTCATGACATACTAAACAGGTGTCATATGGTCGATGCCAAGCCTATTTCTGCTCCAGCTGAGCCTGCTTCACGGTTACAAGCCACTGGTGACCCATTTTCGGATCCTCACTTATATCGCAGCATTGTGGGTGCCCTTCAGTACGTCACTATTACACGCCCAAAGATCTCCTATTTGGTTAATCGTGTATGTCAGTTTATGCATAAACCAACCCTTACGCATTGGTCGGTGGTTAAGAGGATCTTACGGTACCTAAAAGGTACAATATCAAATGGCCTTGCATTTGGGAAAATGCGTGATTCCAGCCTTGTCACATTCACCGACGCTGGCTGGGCGTCTGACCCAGATGACTGCCGCTCCCAGCATGGCTTCTCAGTGTACTACGGAGGAAACCTCGTCAGTTGGTCATCACGCAAACAACAAGTTGTCTCTCGCTCTAGTACCGAAGCCGAATACCGAGCTATTGCTTTTACAGCGGCCGAGCTCATATGGATACGTCAACTGCTCCAGGAAATGGGCACTCCGTTCACTCCACCACCAATTATTCTTTGTGATAATCTCAGTGCAACCTTCCTCACTGCCAACCCCGTCTTTCATCAAAGATCCAAACATATCAAAATTGATTTTCATTTTGTTCGAGAGCAAGTTCAGTCTGGTGCACTCGTAGTTCGCCATGTTCGGTCCGTCGATCAGGTTGCCGACATATTCACAAAAGCA